AATATTATTGTTTTGGAGAAGCACTTCTTCGGCCGCGGTGGGATTCTCCGGATCATCAATCTCAATTTTAGTTTCTACCACCTTCCACATATTTTTATTGATTGACTTGATATGTGTGGTCATCTTTGACTTTCAATATGGATAATTTGTGCCATTAAATTGGGGTGGCTTCTTTGTGTTGTTGATTTGAGCCATTTTTACACCGAAGGTTGTTAAGCCTCAAATCACGGTGACCTCGGCTCCGATACCACTTGAAAGGTCCTAATGGCTAGAGGGGGGGTGAATAGCCTAATAAAATTTCTACAACAACACTTAATCAAAATGGTTAGATAATTATGAGGCGAAGCAAGTGTTGTGCTAGCCTACTTAACATGCAAGCCACCTACCACAATTCTAGTTTAGATAGTATCTAATCACACAATAGCTATGACACTACTCTATGTTAGTGTGCTCTCAAAGGCTAACTAAAGAGCCACACCAACCAAGCAAACAAGCTCTCACAGCTAGCTACACTAAAGAGCTTGACAACTAGTTTGCGGTAAGGTAAGAAGTAGGCAAGAAGGTTATACCGCCGTGTAGATGTATGAACCAATCAATCACAAATGTGGATACCAATGAAGACCAATCACCTCGGAATCAATGATGAACACAATGATTTTTTACCGAGGTTCACTTGCTTGCCGGCAAGCTAGTCCTCGTTGTGGCGATTCACTCACTTGGAGGTTCACGCGTTAATTGGCTTCACACGTCAAACCCTCAATAGGGTGCCGCACAACCAACACAAGATGAGGATCACACAAGCCACGAGCAATCCACTAGAGTACCTTTTGGCGCTCCGCCGGGGAAAGATCAAGAACCCCTCACAATCACCACGATCGGAGCCAGAGACAATCACCACCCTCCGCTCGACGATCCTCGCTGCTCCAAGCCGTCTAGGTGGCGGCAACCACCAAGAGTAACAAGCGAAATCCGCAGCGAAACACGAACACCAAGTGCCTCTAGATGCAATCACTCAAGCAATTCACTTGGATCACTCCCAATCTCACAAAGATGTTTAATCTATGATGGAAATGAGTGGGAGGGCTTTGGCTAAGCTTACAAGGTTGCTATGTCAATGAAAAATGGCCAAGAGAGTGAGCTTGAGCCGGCCATGGGGCTTAAATAGAAGCCCCCACGAAATAGAGCCGTTGTACCCCTTCACTGGGCTGAACACGGGCCAACCGGACGCTCCGGTCATATTGACCGGACGCTGGTCCTTAGCGTCCGGTCGCCCGATCGTGGCCACATGTCACCTGCGTTCAACTGTGAATGTTTGATCTCAACGGTTGAAAAGTTGACCGGACGCTCCGATAGAGCTGACCGGACGCTGGACCCTTAGCGTCCGGTCGTTTCCAGTAAGGGTTCAAATCCTATTTTTGCCGACCGGACGTGTCCGGTCACGCTTGATCGGACACAGCCCAGCGTCTGGTGCTTAACCCTAATCACTGTGCCGTCTGACAGCTCGACCGGACGCAGCCTTTCAGCGTCCGGTCGCTGAGTGACCCAGCGTCCGGTCAGAAGACCGACTCCAGCATCATTGCGACCAACTCTATTTCACCTCTAACTTATTCACCCTTGTTAAAATGTGCCAACCACCAAGTGTATCACCTTGTGCACATGTGTTAGCATATTTTCTCAAATATTTTCATGGGTGTTAGCATTTCACTAGATCCTAAATGCATATGCAATGAGTTAGAGCATCTAGTGGCACTTTGATAACCGTATTTTGATACGAGTTTCATCCCTCTTAATAGTATGGCTATCAATCCTAAATATGATCACACTCTCTAAGTGTCTTGATCACCAAAACAAAATAGCTCCTACAAAATATACCTTTGCCTTGAGCTTTTTGTTTTTCTCTTTCTTCTTTTCAAGTCGAAACACTTGATCATCACCATGCCATCATCATCATCATGCTATGATCTTCATTTGCTTCACCACTCGGAGTGTGCTACCTATCTCATGATCACTTGATAAACTAGGTTAGGACTTAGGGTTTTATCAATTCATCAAAACCAAACTAGAGCTTTCAACCTCAGGAAGAGATCTCTGAATCATACACAGTCATCAATAGTTTCTCTCAACTATTGACGGTAATATTACAAAGTAATACATTTTTCCTCTGAATCATACATGGTCATTATGTTGAATTATTTTTGTTCTATTTTTCAGGGAGCAATGACAGATGGTGTTATTGGTGAATTCTAGTAGTACAGATTATATCCCATTTGCATTTGTCCTGCAATGACAGATGATGTTCAGATAGTTTTGGTTTTGTGGTTAAAGTGTAATCAGCCAAATGGAGCTTCCAGTAATATGCATCATTTTGTGCATCTTGATGAAATTGCAGTAACCGGCAACATCTTTTGTGCAGCCATATGAATTTGCAGTAACGAGTGACATCTTTTGTGCATTGCATTCACAATAGCAATCCAAATCAATTTACAACACAATGGCGATATTTACGTCTTCTGTAGTCACAAATTGTTTGCTAGCACTTGAATAATTTACAGAAGGGATTCCCTTTACAGAACTGATAGCAATTACAGTAATAAGCATCTTCCTGAGTCCAGACCACCACGCACGGCTGGCCATGAGGCGGCAGCATCTGCGGCCACTAGGCTGAGCGTCGCGATGGCGGGAAGGTAAACGCCGGCGTGATGAGAAACAGTGTCGACGGCGTAGCAGCTTCGTCGGCGCGCAACAGCTTCGTCGACGATGAGGCTCGTGCGTGGTGGCGGGGAGACAAGCGCCAATGCCAATGCAATTCCTCCAGGAGAATGACTAGATGTAGATCAGCAGCTAGCAGAATGCAATTCTCAACCCTCAACTTGGGTCCCTGGCGCAGGCTGTTCATGTTGTTGCATGAATGACTCGTAGGTCTCCACCCTGGTCTTGGATTCAGGCTGTTTGAGTTCATGCATGAAACCATTCGTCATCGTAAGGAAATCCTTCATATGCAGTTTCTTCCACTCCTATGGGCAAGAGATAATCTTTGTAGTTAGAAAGCACAAGGCCACATATGTACATACCACATTTTGGGCTATGGGTGTAAATGGAAACGGATAGATGAGGACGTGGAAGACGTATTGATAAAGAGTAGTTGCCGGAATTATGCTAACAAATTGCTACATTCACAGAGTGTGGTTGCAATGGGAATTTAGATCCTGAGGATGGCAATGGCTGATAGAGTTCAGCATTTGATAGGATCCTAAGGTAGCTGCAGTTCTCCTATGGCCATAGCGTGACTATAGATAGAATTCACGAGGATCAAGTGTGGGGATTAAAGAATTAGAGTAATCACATAGCGTTAACATCCCAGGACTGCAGGAAACAAGTCTCCTCACCTCAAAATCCCATTCGCCATAAAGATTGGAGTCCTCTGCATCACTCCATACATAAGCGTCAGCCAGCATTTTATCTAAAGAGTCCTTTAGCAAAGCACATCTAGATGAGAAATCACAGACTGCAAGTAGTGCTAGTATTTCCAGGGTAAAACAATAACCAAACACAATGAACGATGGCTTTCCAGTTAAAATCCCCTACGATGGCATTCCAAGGATGAACAGATGAGGGGAAGCATGATTGTTCGTGCAAAAGTTTATAGAGAACAAGGTATTCATAATCGACCTGGTAACTGAATTCCTAGTAGAGTTGGTTTCATTCCTTCACTAATCACCATAGATTTGCCTGTATATAATAATGGCTCAGATCAAATGCCAGATTTACTTACAGCCAATGATATCTCAACTCTTGTCCTCGTGCACGACACGCTCGGGCGCACCCAGGCCAGGCCGGCAAGCGTCGCATCGCAAAAATCCGGCGCGCCCAACCACGCCACACCACTGGGTCTGGCGGGAGAGGCGAGCACATCACCACGCGGTGGGGCGATGCCGATGCGAATCCGATGCGGTGGCGAGGATTGAGGAGGAGGCGCAGGCGCGGCAGGCAGAGGCAGCCGACCCACCCCCGGGACGTGGACGTGGTGACGCCTGACGCGGTCGTGGGAAATCAACCCAACGGACCGACGCGGCGCTTCGGTGAGGTGCCCGGCGACGATGGAGGAGCCGCGCGGCATGGGGAGCGAGCGACGACGGAGGCAGAGGTTGGAGTTGCGAGGGGATAAGAATGGTGCGGGATGGGCTCACATGGGCCCATTTGAGGCCTATTAGTTTAGTTTTCTGGAGCTCACCCTTTGATCTAGTATCAACGGCTTGGATGAGAACCATAAAGACAAGTCGTATTTGTCAACTACAGACGATCTCGTTCTGTTTTTGTGCCCTAGCCCTCACCTTCTCGCCTATTTCTAACGTCTCTACTGGCCAAGAAGATAAACGCACCAGTCCCTCTCAACTCTCAAGAAAAAGGCCACTCGCCACCGAGAGCGAGAATCCGAGTTACCAAAAACAAAAAGGACAATACGTTTTCTTTTTCACAAGCGTGCCAAACACGCACGGAAACTCCCAAATTCCAGGAAAACAAATATACACCGTTTATTTACGCACACCAAAAGCACGCGAGAAATAAAAGCGAACAAAACAACAATGGATCATCAACACGCAAAAATCCTCCACGCGTCCTTGAAAGCAAAATTCAAAATCATTTTCAAATTCACACAAGAAAATGAAAAAGAGACCGAATAGATACACCAACCCACTGTCATTCTATAGTATAAGTACGCTACCCCGCGGGAAGCCGTTGCCGTCGCATCTGAGCGCTTTTACGCAGAATCGGAGAATCCCTTCTTCGGCGCCCGCCACCACCACCACCACCCTTTCCGCCTCCTCCCTCCCCTTCCGGCCTTCCCTACAAAAGCCGCGAGAAGCGGCGGGGACGAGGAGGAGACCGGCCGACCGCCCGAGTGCCCGACCCCCTATTGCGCTTGCCGCTTGGGCCCCCTCCCGTTCGGCGCATTCGCGTTCCGCACCCGCGAGGAGGCCGGGCCGGAGGCCGGAGCAGCCATGGGCGTGGAGGAGGCGGGGCGCAAGAAGCTGGCGCTGGCGAGCATCGGCTTCGCGGACGTCCGCGTGGGCGCCGCCGTGCCCGGGGCGGCCGCCGGGTACAAGGACGGCCTGCTCGTCGTGGGGCTCCCCGTGCCCAAGGACGACGGCCTTGACGCCGCCGCCCGGGTCGTCGGGGACCTCGCCGCCAGGCTGCCCGACGTTGGCGCCGCCGCTAGGGTGAGTCACTGGTCTCGTCTGCAGATCTCGGTTTCGTGCTTGTTGTTGTGCTCTGGAATCTGGATGGATGGATGTGTTGTGAGTGTGATGGTGGCTTAGTTAGTTTTCACTGAGCATGTGGATGTGGATTGGAACGCTTTCACCTTTCGGATTGGTTGGGCACACGGGCAGACGGCACAGAGGCGGGAGTTTTGCTTTCTTGTTCAAAGTGTGGTGCCTGTTTGCTGAATTGCTCGCATGGGGATAGGATTTGTGAGCGATTTGAATTTTTTTTTTGAAAAAAAAACGGCTTTGCTGTAAAGGCGATATCTTTTTCTATTATTCATTGTTATATGACCTGATGTATATTCTGCGGATGATTCAACCGGCAAACAGTCGCTCATGCTTGAAGGTTCATGCTGCGATCTAGTAAATGTTTGATGTAGAAGTTTCAAACTACTTATTTGATTTGTTAAAATATTGCGAGCATGATGTTGCTAGCTTACTTCGATTCTTTATCCAGGGATCTTCCTATGCATATAGATGTTAGAGTCGCCTCCTTATCTATTCCAATAGTAGTTGATTAGCTGACTGTTTAACAATTGGGGGTCGTTTGGAAGTTTCGTACTGTCCTGCGATCTAGGCGGGCATCCCAAATTGTTCCTGGTAACTCATTGAGATGAAAAGTATAATTAACTCAGATCAGTATTTTCTTTTTGTCCATAGAACAGATGAAGTTAAGGAGTTCTAAAGGTAGGATAATGTTGATGTGTGCATGGGTCCCATTGCCATGTGCCCGGTGTCCCATGCCTGCTGGATGTTTTTTTGTACTTATCTTGGGTAGATATTTCTTCACAAGCAGACCTGGTGCTGAGTGCTGACCAGTGGAAAGCTATAGGTGCACTGTAGCTATACTCATTGAGCAGAATTTTGCCTTCTATGTGGAATTCCTTTTTATTTGTCTTTTCCTTTGCACTTAAAAAGCTGTGGAGGTGTAGGGAAGCTTCCGACAGATGCTGCCGTTTTGTATCATTAGCTATTTTTCAATTTGATTAAAGCCAAGTAGTGACATACCTGCTATATGCCTTGGTGAGTAAATTTGATTGCTTCCACAATTTTCTTTCTGTTATGTTTGTGTGATATGATCCTTTCAAAAATGACCAAAAAGTTTGTCGTTTGGAACCCAAGACTTTTCTTGGTCTTTTATGCATCTACCCCATGTAGAATATACCTGTGTTTTAGTTAAGTTCCCTTGTTTTTCCTTTCCCTGTCCACTTCCAACTTCCAAGTTGGACCAATATTGTTAAACAACTACGATCCAACCTTCCCAGCTATTTGTGATGTTGCTACTGCCTAGGAACTTTCATGCCACCAGCTAGGTGAATGCAACCCATTGAGCTGCAGTGTAAATGTGTAATCGTTGGCCATCACAGTTTTGTTCACTTGGTCAGAGTTATGGACTGAGGGTGTTTCCTAAAGAAAGAAAATAGTGCAATTTGGATTAGGCTTTGACAAAATGCATGAAGTAACAGGCTAACAATAGCTTTGGACAGCATTCACCAAGTTACTTGGGAATACACTGGTACCTATGTCATATTAATAAAACGACAAGTGATGCTGTAGTCAATATGCAAAATGCACATAGCTTTGCTGCTGTCACTGAAAATCAAAAGGAACAATAATATTAATAATAGCTGTATATTGTATGGGATTTTCTTTTTTCCAGCTTCTCTATTGCATTTCCTACCACGTTAAACACTTGCAGATTCTGAGGATTATTTCAGAGTTGGAACTCCCTGAAAATAGTGTTTTCAGTGATCTGAGTTTCTCTTGAGTTCTTCAAATCTTGCTAAATGATTGAGTTACCAGACATTGATCTAAGACTTTATCTGATGCAGACTTTTCTGAGGAATAGAGAAGTCGCGGAATTCGTGAGTGGAGCATTGGCTGGTGCAATGACTAAGGCTGTCCTTGCTCCCTTAGAAACTATCAGGTAGTTTTTGCTCTCCAGATTTGTCTATTCATAGTTCTAAGTCTGGTGTCTTGCTATTTCAAAATATATTAGTTTGGTTGCATGAGAAAGTTTGTCCCCCACACTGGGAAATGAGTTTGTTTACAATTTTCAATGATCTGCCGATTATATTATGATACTAGTGTCGGTGTTTCGAGTTACCACCGACGAGTAAATTTGTATTATTGTGCGTCTAGCTCGGATGGTGTGCTTAGAGGACACGAGGTTTATACTGGTTCGGACAGAAAGTCCCTACGTCTAGTTCGTCGCTGCTGCTCGTGTTACTAGCACCGAAAGTTTGTAGTAGGGGTTACAAACGGGCGAGAGAGGGAAATGATCCCAAGTCTCTGGTGAAAGGAGTGAGTGGGTGCTGAGAGCTCGATCGTTGCTCGGCTGTGCGTTCGTGTCGTGCTTCTTGTGCGGATCTGTATCGGATCTTGATGGGTCGATCGGTTCGGGATCCTCTTTTATAGGCTAAGGGAAAGCGTGGGTTATAGCGGAGGAAAAGGAGAAGAACGAGAGAAAGGAAGGCCTCCAGGATCGCCGGGTCCTTCTCCTTCATGCGGGTCCCGCCAACCCTGTAGATGTCAACAGGGACGGCTCCACGTCGCGGTCCTGTCCGTCACTGGTGCCATGCGAAGGTGTCATCCGCCGGTCATGGCGCTCCACTCCGTCCTGGCGGACGTCATGGTGAACTGACGCGCCTATCCGTGTTCGTACGAGGGTTAGGCAGAACAGCACCGGTACGCCCGACGCTGTTCTTATGTGAATCCTCAGGTATGGCCCGTCGTGGCCGCGGGTTACATCGGGGCGTGCCGGTCTCTTCCTTGGTGTCAGAGTTTTGACCCAGACCCATACGCTTGGACCTGGAGTGGTTGGCGGCAGTATGGGTCCCCGTCGGGCGAGACGGAGCCCGCACCCAAGGGGTCTGGCGAGGCAGAGCCCGCGGTCTTGGGTTCGGGCGAGGCGGAGCACAAACCCAAGGGTCGGGCTAGACGGAGACCGCGGCCTCAGGGTCAGGCGAGGCGGAGCCCGCCCCCAGAGGTCGGGCGAGGCGGAGATCGCGGCCTCGGGGTCGGCCGAGGCGGAGCCCGCGCACCTAGGGGTCGGTTGGAGCTGTAGGCGCGCTCTTGACTGCTCGGTTGAATCAATGTTGATGACCATTAGCTCCTCTTCGGGTACCCCAGTATTGACCCCCGACAACTAGTATATATCTTTCAGTGAAGTGATACCACTTGCTATTCTAATTGAAGTAATTTACTACACCAAGCCCATTTAGCTAAATGATATACAATTATTTTGTTGTCTGTTGCCATTGATTTGGATGAATATCAAAAGTGATCTTTCTACTTATAAAAGATTAAGCTGATATGCTTTGCTCGATTTCAGGACAAGAATGGTTGTAGGGGTAGGATCAAAACATATTTTTGGTAGCTTTGTGGAGATTGTTGAACATAATGGCTGGCAAGGACTCTGGGCGGGTAATACAATAAATCTGCTCCGGATTATGCCAACTCAAGCAATTGAGCTCGGGACATTTGAATGTGTCAAAAGGAGTATGGCATCAGCTCAAGAGAAATGGAAAGAGGATGGATGCCCAAAGATACAACTTGGCAATTTGAAAATCGAGCTGCCATTTCACTTACTATCGCCGATTGCAATTGGAGGTGCGGCAGCTGGAATAGCTAGCACTTTAGTGTGCCATCCTCTTGAGGTTCTTAAGGTACTTCAGAGCTAAATCTGCATGTTGAATATCTGTGGGCACTATTCATGGAATGTTATGTCCCTTTTCTTTATTTCCTTTTTGGGGTTTGGTTTATATTTCTAACTTCTATTGCCTATTCCAAATAAATGGCAAACCAGCAAACTTCATAGAACTTTGTGAGGCCTCTTATTTAATTTCTTGATTACTTTTTTACTATTCTCCTTGTCGCAGGATCGCATGACTGTCAATCGTCAGGCTTATCCTAGTATTGCCATTGCCATCAACAAGATCTACCGGACTGATGGCATTGGTGGTCTTTATGCTGGCCTCTGCCCAACGTTGGTTGGCATGTTTCCATATAGCACATGCTACTATTTCATGTACGAGACCATCAAGACTTCCTACTGCCGTGCACATAAAAAGAAATCTTTGAGCCGTCCTGAGCTGCTGGTTATTGGGGCTCTTTCAGGTCAGATTCAGTTACATGTAAAGTGTTACATACAATTCACTAAATTTCTTGAAACAAATTAGGAAATGTTATATTCCAAGTTAGGTGTTTTGTCTCATAGTTGTTTGAACCTTCTAGGTCTAACTGCAAGCACAATCAGCTTCCCTCTAGAAGTGGCAAGAAAGCGGCTTATGGTGGGATCCCTACAAGGGAAGTGCCCACCCCACATGATTGCAGCATTAGCTGAGGTGGTCCAAGAGGAGGGCGTCAAGGGGCTTTTCCGAGGATGGGCGGCGAGCTCCCTGAAGGTCATGCCAACGTCCGGTGTCACCTGGATGTTTTATGAGGCATGGAAGGACCTTCTTTTGGGTTCACGGCTACATGCCTAGCAGGAACGTGACGAAGTCAGGCTCTTGCATTGTTACAGAATAAATTTGTTGTGCTGTGTGGGATTTTCAACATTTTTTTCTCCTTAAAAAATCCCATTTAGGAGAGAACAAGGCCATCTTGTGCTGGTTGCACTCATGATTAGCAGTATTAGTCAATTGGCCTTTGCTAACCTGGGATTATCTAACTACTAGCAACTCTGAGCAGACTCAACCTGGACTGGGTATGCATTGGCCCCAAGCATTGTTGTTGTCAAATTTGTCTACTAATGAAAGAAACACTATTTCTTAGTTCTGAGATGAACCTTTTGTCACTGAACGTTGCATGCTTTGTATGTGTGGAGCGTTTATCCGGTTCATAATGAGTCATTGTTATACAATATTATACATCCACTGGTCCAAAATGAGTACTGTTGTGGAATATGTGCAAATAAGCGTTGTTCTAATTTCTCATACGAGAACTATATAAACATTAGTTAGTGTATGATGCACCCTCAGTGTTCCCAATTATAATTCCCTTTAGCTTTGTAGTCCTCGCTATCAAGTAAATCAGACCAAATTTCCTTTGGATGCATTATTTTCGCGCCAGCAATTTATTGTAAAATTCCAGAACCTTGTATCAAACCACAGTTGGACAAATGTAAAATGTTCGCTTTCTCACAACTAGTACTCTGCAACAATGAGGTGCAATCTCCGAAGATGGCCATTTGTCCTTGTCCTAAGTGGCAGCTAAGCTCCAAGGTCTTTGCTCTAACCAAAGCTTCGTCCCAACCAAATTTGTCCTAATCACCATACTGTGATTATACAAGGCAGGCGCCAATCGCGAGAGAGACATCGTCATACACGCGTGCTTAGGCTCAAACACCGGCCGGCCGCCGGCCATGTGCCCCAACGCGTCAACGCCGGCGACCGGCGATGCCGACTCCGACGCCGACGCGGGCGCCACTGTTCTTGCAAAGCTTCATGCTTTGCGAGCTGCCATCGTCTCGGTGCTTTCAGCCGCGGCCGATGCTGAGGTCGAAATCGACGCCATCGGTGACCGCTGGACGAGCTCCTATCCAGCGCCTCGCCGTCGTCCACCCACAACCTCCAGTCCCAAGCCGTGGCAGCACGCGCGCTGAGCGCGGGCATCTACCGCGCCGTCGCACCGGCCGAGCCCCTCCTCGCGGCGTTCCGCCGCGTGTCCGCGCTCGCCGAGGATGCCGCGCCACCCGCGAACCCGGGCGACGCCGAGAGCGCGGTCGCGTTCGTCGACCGTGTGGACCAGCTGCGGGACGCCATCGAGGAGGTGGTGGCGCGCGGCGAAGAGGCCGTCCGGAGGGTGGAGGAGGCCGTCGGCTTCCTGGGTCGGACCAAGGCGGCCGGCCGGGGCCACGTACGGAGGCTGACCGAGGCCGCCGCGGCGCTGCGCGCGGTGTACGAGACGGAAGCCGAGGAGATGCGCTTCGAGGGCCCCCTCGACGATGCTCTCCTCGGCCTCCAGGAGCTCTTCGAGGCGGTGCTCCTCAGGCTGAAGCACCCGGCGCCCGTGGACGACGACGTCGCCGGCGCCGAGGGAGGCACGGCCGGGTACGAGCTGGGCACTGACGACGAGGTGGAGGCCAACGCAAGGATGGCCAGGACGCTGGCCGGCAACGACTGCTTGGATATCTGCCTCGACATCTACGTCACGGTGATTCATTTTCCTAACCTTTACAGCCTAGGGCCTTGTTTAGATCACCTCCAAATAACTAATTGCACAGTTTAGTTGGAAATCACGAGATGAATCTTTTGAGCCTAGTTGGTCCACGATTGAACAATATTTACCAAATAAGACGAAAGTGCTACTATTCATCGGGTTGAAATTTTTTGCAATCTAAACATAGCCTAGCTCTTTCTTGCTGTGACAGTTGCGATGTGAGTAACTGAAATAACTGTGGGTGACGTCACTCAGACGAGGTACAGGAGAGCGGCCAAGGCGATGATGCAGCTCAACGCGGCGTACCTCAAGTCGTACACGCCGGAGGAGATCGACGCCATGGAGTGGGAGTTGCTGGAGTCGGCCATGGCGCTATGGAGCCCGCATTTCCACGTGGCTATCGCCTCCATGCTCGTCGCGGAGCGCCGGCTCTGCGCGCGCGTGCTCGAGCCCCTGCCGCCGGCGGTCTGGCCCGAGTGCTTCGCCAAGATCGCCGCCAGCATCGTCGCAGCGTTCTTCCGCTTCACGGACGGCGTGGCCGCTGCGGCGCGCGAGCCGCAGAAGCTGTTCAAGCTGCTCGACATGCTCGACGCGGTGGTCCGGGAGCGGGAGCGCCTGGACGAGCTCTTCACCAGCGAGTCGACCACGCTGGTCGCCATCCGCAAGCGCACGCGCGAGGTGGAGCGCGCGCTGGCGCGCGCCGCGGCCGGCGTGTTCTTCGAGTTCGGTCTCCACATCGAGACGCTCTACGTCACCGGCGCCGGCGCCAACTCCGGGCACGTGCCCAAGATCGTGCGGTACGCCGTGAACTACCTCACGTCCGAAGACTACCGCGCGCTTGCCGGTCCTAAATTTTGAGGGTCATCTGGCGAACTCGTCACGAAGGCCCTCTAGACCACATATAAAATCTTATAATATATAGACATTAATTTTTGTTGTAAAGCGAAAATAAATTCAATGATATATTTTTAATTAAACATATTTGATAGTTATCGAGAAACAATGTAAACTAAAACGGTCCATGAGTGACATGTAAACTCTATTTTTCTCAAAATATAAACATCTTGTAAACATTATCGTGGGCCACGAGGGCCAAATAAAATTCAGGGGGCGAAAACTCCCCCGGTGACCTAAAAAAAAGTAAACTAAAATAATAGTATATTTGTACTTCTAAAACTAATAAGATTACCACAAGTAAGAATAGAACTCCATAATATCCATTGTTTCTCATAAAAAGATACTTCTTCGGACACTTCTTGATGCAGAATCATCAAGGACAGTATTGAGATCAATATTGTCCACTTATGTATAGCACCTTTCTAAGATTTAATAAATTGATCTTCTAGTTTTTTCTATTTTCTTTTCTGAGATCCCAACAAATGTTTCTTAGGTAACATTTTAAGATTCTAACAACTAAATTAAAAGAAAAGCATGACTATATGAATACGAATACTAGAAGTCTGAAATAATTAATTTGGATTAAAAAACGATCATGAAAAAAAATACCTAGGTGCTAGGGTCTGATCGGCTGATGAACTGATGAAGTGATGATTGATAAACTGATGATTGGCTGATCCGCCTGATCGCGCCGTCGTCGAGTCAAAGTCTGTGAGTGCGCCATTTTCCGTGTTTTCTGGCTCTCCGCGGCGGCCGGCGGCGAGACGGCGTGGCTCCGTCTCCGACTCTCCGTGACTCCTGAGGCCGTGACGCTTCGCCCTGGGCGTTCGCGTACGTAGTAGACTCGCGGACTGGGGAAGCAAGCGCTCGGCGCTCCTGATCCTGAACGTCTCGGGCTGCTTATCAAGTGTCATCGGACTATAGGACTTAGGTCTACAGTATACCTGGGCCTGGCCCCCTCCCTTCCCTGGTCCTCGGCCGTCGCACCTCTGGCACCTCTCCAGGGCCGGCACTCTCATGGACACCGCGCTGCGCGCGGATCTGGAACACGGCGACGAGGAGGAGAACACGGGCGAGGGTGGCAACCGCGCCCGCTTGCCGAGGCGGCGGCGAGCGTGATGGAGGCGCTGCACCGGCCCGTCGAGGCGGCGCGCCGGGTGTGCCCGGACACGGTGGCGTCGCATGTCTTGGCCATGAACGCGTACTGGTACATCTACATGCGCACCCGGGGCTCGGAGCTGGCAAAGCTGGTGGGCGAGGACACCTTGCGGCGCCGGTACAAGGCGGCGGCGGAGGAGGCGGCGTGGGAGTACCAGGACGCGGTGTGGACCCCGCTAGTCCGGCTCGTCAGCGGCAGCAGCTCCGGCGCGCCCAAGACCTGGCCGCCGGACGATGCGCGGGAGAAGGCGACGGCGTCGCTGACAAGCTCGAGGAGAGGGTGAGGCGGCACGGGGCCGAGTACAAGATACCGGACGGCGACCTCCGGGGACAGATCAAGGTCGCGGCGGCCAAGGCGGTGCGCGGCGCGTACGCTGGGTTCTTGAAGGCCAACGACAAGGCCCTGGCTGGCGGTCGGAAGCAACTGCTGCCGCTGGACATCATCGAGGGAATGGTTAGGCGCGTGTTCGACGAAATGAGCGATGGAGCCGCCGGCAGTGTCGGCCGGGCGAGAAGCCGGCGGGAGTCGAGGAGCAGCGGCAATTTGGAGGGCTTCTACGCCGTCTAAAAATAGTGAAATGGCATGCTTCTGTTATTATGTACTTGAGTTTTTGTGTTGAAAGAACAAAGTTGTGTTAAATCTTAAGAGATAATATGATATATCAAAATCTACTTTATCACAGTATGTACTTGAAAACTAGATAAATTAAAAAGGTTGGAAATATATTTCTGAAATTTGTAGTATTACACGTATTGTTGGCCGAAGTTAAACTAGGGGCTAAATTTGTTTGGATCCACCCAACTAACTAATGGTTTATTTGGCACAGCTCAGCTTTATTGATAAAACTATTTTTTTTAGTTTTTAGCTTCACAAACAGCTTTCTCAGTAAATTTGAGCTATTTTTGTAACTTTGATTGGGTAAAACAGTTTCACATGTAACACAAAATTAAGAAATGACAATAATACCCTTTTCTTTTATTTTATTTTATTTTTTCCCGTCTGCTTTCACGGAGAGAGAGGCTTCGATCCGTCGTCTTCTTCTCGCATCCTCAGCGGCGGCCGTGCATCCCGAGCATCCTCGCGGGCATCTGCGCGACCGCCCGTTGCTGCGCTCGGTGGGGGCCGTGCTCGCCTCGTGCCTCAACGGCCGCAACTTTCCCGGCAGCAGGTCCGCGGCGGCCGTGTCCGTAGCTTAACCGGCGGTGGCCGCGTCCGCGTCTGCACGTGGCCCCGGCGGCGTTCGCGCGCCGGCCACGTCCGCGTCCACGTCCAAGCACAGGGGAGGGACCTAGCTCTCGCCATCAAAGAATCGAACAATCCCAGCCTCTCCAACCACCTGCGCTCCAGCGGCTGTGCCCCGGCTCCCCGGTGGCCGCGCCCCCCTAGCACTCGGCGGCCTCCATCCGGCCGCACGACGGCTCCTCGGCGGCGGCGCCCCTGCTCCTCGGCGGCGGCCGCGCCACGGCTCCAGCGGGCCATGCTTCGGCGGCCACGCCCCGGCCGACCGGCCACTACCTCCCGGCTCCCGCAGCGTGCTCGCTCTCTCTCTCTCTCTCTCTCTCTCTCAGCTTGGCAAAAGGTCTTTTGTGCCTAGTGGCCCAGATATGGAAGCTCAAGCTGGAATAAGCTACTATTTTCAGTTTTATCTTAACTTATATCTTTGTGAGGAGAGGAGTAAAACAACTTCATCCATAAAATTGTTTTGAAATGAGTGTTTGAAAAAAAACAGCTCACAACGGCTCATAAAGCTGTTGTGAGCTGTGCCAAACAGACTCTAAATATTACTAGTTGTGTCAACTGAAATACACCAGCTAATAGCTAATCGTTAGTCGGATGGTAGACAACACATTAGCCAGCTAAGTAACTATTGATTGTGTTAGCTGGGAAAACCCAGCTAATAGCTAATTGATAGTCGGATGGTAGACAACACATTAGCCAGCTAAGTAACTATTGATTGTGTTAGCTGGGAAAACCCAGCTAATAGCTAATCGTTAGTGTGTTAGCTAAGAAAAAACAGCTAACTAGCTAATTGTTAGTTCGATAGTAGACAACACATTACTTAATCGTTATTAATTGTGTTAGCCGGAAAAAAACAGCTAATAGCTAATCCTTAGTTGGATGGTACGTAACACATTAGCTAATCGTTAGTTGGATGATGGGTAACACATTAGCTGGTTTACTAACCGAAATAGCTAATCTTTAGTAACTAACTATTAGGCTAGTCTCGGTTGGAGGTGTCATGCATTTAATACTGTGACACTTGGCAACTTTGATGATTAGACTGGCTAATTACGAAGAGAAAGATATAGAGTTTCGTAGAGTTTTAAGATGAAGGGCCTGTTCTCTTGTCTAAATTTTGGAGGAATCTGGATGGTTTGGAGGAATGCTGGAGAAATTTATGAGAGAAAAACACTGTTCCGGATAAAAAAATAAACGGATCAAGCCGAGTTTAAATGGATCACAACATAAAAGCTGACATGTTAATCTTAGTACTAAGACTGGCCTCTCACGTACTAACCTTAGCGAATTTTCTTTATTTTTAACATTTTTTTATAAACTAATTTTAAATCTAACACTGTTTATATTTTTTCCCCAAAACTAACACTTTTGACCGTGCCTATTGCCCTAGCGCGGTGAAATGCCTGTGCCGCGCCATGCATGGCGAGAGGGATGACGTGGCGACGCCCGGGACGCTGACCGGTGACGTGGCATGGTCTGTCGCGCCACCGATCTTAGCGCTGTCGCGCCCTGATCGGTGGCGCAGCAGAGCCGGATAAAGGCCCGCGGCCCAGTCCCGCCTACCTGCCGTGCCTGGCCGCCTGTCCGTTGCGCTTGCCCGCCTGGCCGCCTGCCTACCCACCACTCCCAAGTGCTATCGGTGTTCGGCCCTCTGTTGCCGCCTCCCTCCCTCCTCGGCCTCGTTCAAGGTAATGACGCTGTCGGGTTCATAAACCCGGGGTCCCTCGCGGACCGGCTTCCCAACAAAGGCTCGGCTCAGCCGGCAACGTTACGAACAACGCGCAACTCATGGGCCGGCCCAAGTACCTGAACGATAGGACAGAAAGACGATCCAACCACCGACCGGAAGGCCAGGCTGAGGAGGAACAACGCCCGTTTTCGATTCCGGCCCAACTCTCCGACCAGAGCGCTCGCTTCGGTCTCAGGCCCGCCTCCAAACAGCCTCTTCGACCGGAAGGCCTAGCCAAAAGCACCACTACCGGCTCCGACCCGCGCTCTCCGACCGGGGATACACCAAGCCCCTGCTCACTGCTCTTCTCCAACTGGCGCGATCAGAGCCGACTGGGACCAACCGACCGGGGACGTCCGCTCGGTAAAGACTAGGAAACGTCCGGAGAAAGTAAGGCAGGGTGTACAAGTCAAAACCGCAATACAGGGACCATACCCTGCGCACCTGTCAGGCAGTACCCTGCGATCATCCCTGGCACAACAGAGCCCAAACAGTGCTGTAGGCTCCGACCTTTTCCCTACAGTATTGTGGGCGCCATTAACTCCCATACGGTAAGGCACCTCCACATGCCTACAGTGTTGTGGGCGCCAGCATTTACCATACCGAGTGAACATGGTAGAACTCCTCACATGTCTCTGGGCATCAACAGTATAGCAGGTACCGACATCTGCCATACCCGAACAAAACGCCCTAGCCTCTCACGTGCATCCGACATCCAACAGTGTTGTGGACGCCTACCATCATCCTGTACCTGCCGGCGTGGGCAACAAGGTTTAGAAACATACGTACTCTCTCCCTCTCACTTGTAAGGCCATCCTCTTTATCTATAAAATGGGATGCGCTCTCTCCCAAATATTAAAGTGATTCTAGATTCATTAGATCAACCAAGTTCACTAGCACACAACCACAGAACCGCCAGGTTCAAACCATAAGCACACGCTTGAACACTTAGCTCATAGCGGAGCTCCTGTCGCTCTCGGCCCTTCCGACCGGAGCACGGCCGGACCTCTTGTACCCCCATCTTTCTCCTTCTCGTTTGTAACCCCACTGCAAACTTCGAGTACCTAGGCTCAGGAATAAAGTCACCGACTGACTCAAACTGAACGTAGAGCACGTTGCCTGAAACAGTATAAACCCTGTGTCATTGAGTGCTAGGCCACCTCCGATCACAAACGTACGGCAAAACTACAAATATTTACTTGTTGGTCACTTTCTACACCGACAGACGCACTTTTTATTTTCGTTTGAATGGTGGATTGAAATATTATGAATGGGAGTTAAGGTTAGGAGGAAAATTATGTTTGGAAACTATGGGCTATGGTTTGGAGAAAGATATTAGTTTGATTTTGTCGATGTTAAGGTTAATTATTTAGTTAGAAGTATGTTTACCATGTATATTTTTGTTGCTATAAGTGTTGGTTATATTATTTGAGTTGCAATACAAATGATTATATTTTACATTAATTTACGTTGTTTTGATTGATGTTTAATTTGGACCATTTTATTAGATGGAAGACATGTTTCGGGAGCAGTTGTGGCGAAAACGGGGTCGTCCTAGAGAATTGTACCCCGACGAGTCTAGCAAAGATACCCCCGTCCCTCCTGACCTCCCTGTCCCTAACTGTGACTGTGGTCGTCCGGCCGACGTGTTTCAATCGAGATATCCGGACACAGTGGCTCGTTACTTCTACACATGCAGTCGTTTTAATGTAAGTAATTGTTTTCATATGTTTTTTTTTCTTCATTTGTATTACTAGGTTACTAATATTTTGTTGGAATTTTGTTATGTAGGCCCATGAGAAGTGCCTTTTCTTTCAGTGGATCAACGGTGCAGACAAGTTTGACCCCAGGTACCTCCTTTTCGACGATCGGTGGAGAGGGCGACATTCACGAGAGCACTTCGAGCAGTGGGTTCCACCTCCCCCTAACCCCCTCTAATAACGGCTAAGGAGAAGCACTTAGCCGTAGTTAGACGACTCGAGGAATCTCCTCTGCGCAATTACGGAGATCGAGCTATGATAAACTCTGAAAATACGTTGGAGTTTGTGTGTCCAAACAAGCATGAAGTAAGTGCAAAATGTATGTGTTGAAATGTTGAGCTGTATGTGTTCATGTACTAATGTCACCTTATTTAGGTGTTTTCAATGACGAATTGTCGTTTCAAGGAGTGGTCGTATGGTCCTAAGAACCAATGGCCGGAAGAACCGCCAAAGGTTAAGGAAAAGAAGAAAGAAAGAGTAATTTACAAAGCACCTCCTGTCATGTGTGAATATGGTGTTAAATCCAACTATGGCCTAGTCCCTTCGAAGCTTGGAATATATCATTATTGTGGCCATATGACTATGATGAGGTTGTTATTTTTGTGGTAAACATAAAATCGTATTTTGTTTTTTTTTCTAAGACATATAATATAATTTTTGTTTGATCAGAGCAATAGAAAATACAGGTGAAAATATTACGATGGTCAAGTTATAAGGGTTCCACACGGTCCGTAAGTTTTCCACGACTAGCCTTAGCTATAAGGGTTCCACACGGTCCGTTAGTTCTCCACTCCTGGTTATATTTCCAAGAAGTATTTATTTCTTCTGAACCCGTGGAA